GTGTCCTGGAGACAGGCTGGCGGGTGGGGGGGAGGAAGATGGGGATGGAGGGTATGGACCTTTCCAACCTGCACAATGAAGTTCTCTCTGCCACTCCCCCACAGCAGCAGCCTGGGATGGGTTGGGGGGGGGTCTGCCTGGCTCCCTGTCCTCTCCCTCCTGCCTGAGAGGGGCAGAGTCTGGGGGTGGGTGGTGTAAATGGGGGGGGTTGAGCAGAGGAAATCAGGCCAATCTGGGGTGAATCCTCAGGGACCTCAGCCATTCCTAGCTGCAGTCCTTAGGCCCAACCTCTCTGAGCTGTCCCCACATCTTAAAAAAACGAGCAGATATTTTGCCCCACTCCCAGCAGGTGTGTATCTTTCTCTCCATCAACAAATCTATCCTGAGCATCCCTGGACCATGGCTGAGCTGGACAGGACACCAGAGGTCAGGTGAGACAGGTCTCAGTCCCTGTACAAGGGGTGGTGAAGTCGGAGGAGGTGATGGTCTGTGGATAGTCATGAAGAAACTGCCCAAAGAAAGGCCGAGGCAGGCCATGGCCCTCTGCCGCTGTCCATGGTGCTGAGAGTTCCACTGCTGGCCGGAGGTGCTCTTGGCCAGCTGGGAACCCACATGGAAGGCTCAGGGGTTGGCGGGCCACAGGTGGGGGACTAAGGTTGGGGCTCAACAGGGGTGTGGGGAATGCTGGGAGCCAGATCAGGGGCTGGGGGAGGGAGGCAAACAGGCCGCTTCCAGGCCCAGCCACAGACAACGAATAGGCCACCCATGATGGTGGTGGGGACCCTTGAATCTGTGGAGCCAGATTCCTGGACTCTGAACCTTACTCTCCCAGGGTGCAATCTAGGAAGTCCTGAGTGTGCTCCCAGATGGCTGGCCGAGGACAGGGATGGGGGGAGCACAGGACAGGCCCATCTCGCTCACACCCCAAAACCTTGGAAAACTCCTGGTTTCTTACTAATGCTGATGTGGTGATCAAAGGGGAGCCCTCCCCCCTGCCCACTGAGCCCAGCTCACTCCCTGCCACATCCTCACCCACGCGGGAGGCCCCTATGACCCCTTTCACACTGGGCTCCTC